TAAAGAGCTGTCGCTTTTGGCCCGTGCGTAGCGCCTGATTTGTTCTCTACTTTTGAGTAGACTAAATGGAATGTAATACGGAATACTTCTCAATATTTAAATCTGATGTCTCAGATGGGAACTGCCTTTCGAATGTACCCAAATATGTGGAATATTCGGTTACGCGAGTTATTAGTGATTCTCACTAGATAAACAACTAATCTTTATAAATTCAAATAACCTATAAACTATATAAAAGATTAGCTATATTAAAACTTATTGATTTATTTATTGGTCTTCAATTTGATTAATTCCAAAACTAGTAGAAGAGAAATGAGTATGAAAACTTTTCATCTTTTTTTCACTACTTAGTGGATTCGCCGCCTTCGTGGAATATAGATTTTCATCACATGATTCTCACTCACGTGCGTGTATTAGCGACAAATCTCAACACTCCCCTGGTTCAATGATCTCTTTGATATCGGTTAACCTTCCTGATATTGGTCGGACGAATGCACGTACAGCTTCTTAATTCGGTGTGCTTAGTTTCACCCTAGGATAATTTCATTTTAAGTAAATTTTGATAGTGTAAATGGCTTGCTAAATTCTCGGAATCTTGGAAAGCGTTTGGTAATTTTATTGTTTATGTCCTCATCTGTTTCCCACCTAGTTATTAACCCTCTCATGTATACACCGGTGGTGCTAGTTTCATTTCTATAGTACTGCCTGAATCTTTTGGTTATATCTGAAAATATATGGCTGGTATGTTTAAGCAATATCTTCGTAATAAGCAGCATCATGAACTTTAATCCAATCATCACTTATTCCAACTATGGTTCACTTCTAGCTACTGTAATATCTAAGTTATTGAAACACCAGTTTTATTTCGGACTATAATGATTTTCCTCAGTTACATTGAACTATGTTATTAATGGAAACAGCATCATCTAAACATGGGCTTTTCTTCAGTATTGTATCAGACTTATGAAAACACAATAGTTACCATAACTCTATCCTCAACTTGGTAAGTGCATATCTTGAACGATAATATTTTACTTGGATATTTAGGAATATCTTTGGGTAACACCATCAATCCGTCAATTCAGCAGCCATCTCCCGGTCAGCCGATTTTGTTTGAACCTGACAGATTTGTAATAACGATCCTTTCTGGATTAGCATTATGTTTTGTACCATGAAGGTCCTCAACACCTTTGATATTATGTGACTTCTTCAGCATTTAATGCTTGTGATTTATCAATTATATATATAGTGTCTAATAGTCTTCTCCATCTTCGTTACTTCTATCTGTTACATCCGTCAAATATAATCAACCTTTGGGTGTCTTTGATGTGTCTTGAATTATCTTGGATTGAATTCTTGTGGCATGAATTCTGTCAATATGGTTCTTACATAATGATCTTGATTCAGCATATACATGTTCCCTTCTGAAATAAATAATGTATCCTTGTAATTCACTAAAATAGTTAAATCATAATACAAATTCAACTGCTATTTGTTTACAACAATAAATCTCTTATGTTGAACCCCTAATAAAATCATATTCATTTACAGCAATGATTAATACTATGGCCATGAAATGCTCTTGTGTAATCTAACATTTAATCTCATATATTTATACCATTTAGCGATATGTTCAACCACTTGAATGAACTTACTTGATAGCATAAATAGCCTTGTCTAACAATAAACTTTACTTTTTCTTCGGTGGAAATATAAAATCTATAATAATTCCCTTACCAATAGATTTAACCACTTCTCTGAAATTTTCTTTGTATCTGAAAGTATAGACTTCTTTTGAACAATTTAAAACCAGCATTCTGCGTTCATAGTAAAGTAAGACTTTTCTTTTGTAATTTACTCCCCTTCAACTTCAACTTTCTTCTGTTTTGGTTTCGGCAACAGCTTTTGCAATAGCATGCTTGTACATTGACTCACTATCCACTAACTTTTTCGGCTTCACAATTTTATCATCAGTGTTATTCTTTTCGATTGCATTGCTTTTATCAATTACTTCAGAGATACTCTCCTTAATCCTTGTAGTATCAGGAATCACTTCGTAATAGTGTCTTGCATCTCCTTCTGTATGATTTTTATCAACGTCTTCCACTGCTGACTTGATATTTTCATTACCTTCATCAAATTCTTCAATATCGTGTGCTTGCCTAATTTCATTAATGGGAGTAACCCCATCTTGCGATGGTTCTGTAACCTCAATCTGTTCTTTCGGCATTGACTGATTGGCCAATTCTTGGGTTGTAAGTTTGGCTGTCATAGATCTGATCATACGAGCAGTATGCTCAACCTCCTTCGTACGTTTCTTCAGTTTCTTGGATTTCTTCTCTGACTTAGTCTTGGAAGCTCCAACTGCTTTCAAACTGCCAGATGGTTCTGACTTATTTACATGGTCAAGGTTGCCTAATTTTGAGTCGTCTACCGTTTTCACTTGGTGAGAAGGACCCTCGGTAGATTTCTCATCATCTCTGTATCCCGCATCAGAGATAACTTTGTCATCGGTCGTGACTGTATGAACATCATGATCCCCTTCGATCATTGTTGTGTTGATGTTCACTGTGAATTTCTTGACTTTCTTCGATTTTACTCTTCAAGCCTTCTTGAATTTCACTAACACCTGGATTTTCTGGTTGATTTCCACAATCATAATCCATCGTGTCTGTTTGGAAAAACTTCGTGTTTCACCAGCTCCTGTTGTTCAAAGTACTGGGGCACTGGAGTCATACTCCCCTTAGTTGTGGTGGATTCACTTGTCGTACTTTGGATGTGATTCAGTTTAATCTCTCCCCCCACATTTGGAATTTCTTGTTGTCGTACTTGATCAGGGTACTTATCAATAGTTTCAGTAGTTTCAAATTTAGTTGCTTCTGGATCTTCAGACATTTTGTTACGTGCCGATACACCTTGTGCCACCATTATTCCTTCTTCATAATGGCCTGATGCTTTGTTTATACGTACGTTAATCTTGGATTCATCGTCTAAATCTTTGGGTGATATTTCTACTTCGTCAACAACTGGGTTTAAATTGTCGATTTCCGTAGACTGAGTATTCGCAGCAGTATCATCGTCAACAGGTGATGAAAAGCTCATCTTCGGGTGAAGTTTCTCAAACTTATGTTTCGTGCTTAAGTATCTTAATAGCTGCTGCTAATGGAGATTGTTCGTCTCCGTTAGCTCCTTCAATAAAAGATCATTATAAAGTGTTTGTCTCTACCATATTGTTGTCAATCTTGAGAATCGCCTGCAATTAATGTTGTTCTCTTGATTATCTCTGTACTGATATGGTTGGTTCCAAATCCCATATTAAGTACTTTAACTGATAAGACGTCGTTAGCTCCTTGTTATTGCGTATGGCTTCGAAGAAAATTATCCAGTAATAATTATTCTTGATTACCTCGTCATTTTGCTCAAAGCTACACCTTCCTTCTTAAGCAATACCAATTCAGGTAAAAAAAATATTTCGATAAAAAGACATCTCCTCATTGTGAAGAAAAATTCCTTTTCGATAAAAAAAATCCTTTCGATATTCTTGTTTGATGGTCAAATCTAAATATTGCATGGTTAGAACGAATTTTTAACCCTGGTACTCTGGTACTAAATATATTTATATAGCAAGCACCAAAATTTATGAGTTACTACCTCTTCTCTAACTCACAAATGAGACAATAGTGAACTTAGTGCACTTTGTACTCTCTGTTGAGACCCAAACTGGTGGTCTCTATCCCCGGTATACAATCTGACATATGCTTTGCATAGCCAAATCGGAATCATTTATAACCTAAATCTCAAATTCATATTCCAGTATAGGTAATAATGTAATTTCTTGATTTGTTCACATAATCATCATGATAAATAGCGTTATAGCTATAATATTAGATGTCCTATTTGCTTATTAAAATCCACAATGAATGCATTCTAATTCCATCATTAGTAGGTCCTTTATTTTCCCGTAACTTTAATGTTAATCACAGTCTAATAATTGCACCATTGATTTCTCATGATTAAAACCTATTTTCTCTGATAGTTTTGAGCATCATCAGTTCTAATTTTGCAATGCCAATGTTACTAAATTTATATTCATCATGCCTAGTTCATCTAAAACAACATGTATTTTCCTTTCATTACTAAATTTATGTTCGGAGCCTGTTTCTACTAACTCATCTTTTATACTGACGATATAGTAATTTCGGAAATGTATAATAAGTTTCTCATCCTTTCCTCTACTAAATTCCATTCCATTATAATAGATATAATACGCCACAGTCATCTTTTCATAGTATTGGTGTTTGAAATGTGTTGTCTAAATCGTAGTTCATTGGATGGTCCATATGTATCACATTTTTCTTTCATAACTTTCTTGTGCTTCGCTTCATGCAATCTCACTATGTAATACCAACCTCTTAACCAGATCCTTCTCAGCACGATATCTAGCACTCACTCGATCACTTGAATCGCGACATATTATGGAATCTTTCGACTACTATTTCGGACAGTGTCTCATGTATCTATTACCTTATCAATCTCCTTAATAATTCGTGTGTCCGGGATTATGTTTTGACGAATTTCAAGACATATGTTAATATTCTGAAATGTACCTTTATTCAGTTGTCATCTCATTTAGCAGACATTCACTGGAAAATGTGTTTATCAAGTAAATCGCTTATCCTTCACCGACATATTGAATTATCGTTTTAATTCATCTTACTTTGTATCTACCTTAATTTCTTATTGTTATTAATTTATCTGATTTCTTTGTTATCAAGTTTGTTATATTCTTATAACTTGGCATCTCTTATTCTCAGTGATTAAAATAATCTTCGATATCATAACTATTACAAATATCATCTTCGTAGCAACGAATGAAATCATTTTCCAATATAGTAACCACTACAAACGATGATTAAAATAATTTCCAATAAATACCTGTCACAACTTTCAATGTTATAATGAAATGATTATCTTTATGTTATTAAAATCCATTCGAATAGCACCACTATCATAAAATTTTACTTCTTAATACTCCATCAATTGAATCTCAGTAATTATTTCAGCAATTTCGAATTCACAGCCTTTTTCAATGTAGCTTCATGGCCTATGAAGGTATTTTGATACAAAAGTATTCGTGAGGTAATTAAATCATATTTAACTGGTGTTTAGCCAGTGTTAAATATTCCACAGATTTAAATTACACACCAACTCGCTCCAGCATGGGTAACAGTAAACAACCTTTAACAATACATGTTATCAACAACAGTGTCTTATATTCAACTAAGTTTCTCCTAACTTTGAAATATATCTAGCAGCCAAGCTCTTGCCCTGGTTTATAACCGCCTCAATAAACTTCCATTAGAATCACCAGCATTATTCAACATCATTTACTTCGTTCTTAGTGATCTCTGTAAACTTCATGTATTGTTCAACATCTAACCAGATACTCTATGAATAACCAGCTTATTGATAAATATGTTTCTTTTCCCAAACTTGGATTCTAGGACTCGATATCCTCAAATATTGATTCATAGCCTCGCATCCAACGTCCTTAGACTCTTGGAATGTGTGAACACTAAACCATCTCAAAAAATATAATATGAAAACAAAATCAAAAGGCAATCTATAGCAAAACCATAACCGAGATTGTAACCTTTTGACTTCTAATCTAAAGAGCTGTCGCTTTTGGCCCGTGCGTAGCGCCTGATTTGTTCTCTACTTTTG